ATGAGGGACTTCTTACAGTGGAAATGAAATAGTATCAAGAAAGGCAATGGAACTGGCTCTTTGGGAGCATTTTGATTCCTTCAAATAGACAGAGTTATTGAGATATAAAATACAGACTCTAGATTCAAAATGTCTCTGGATGAAGGGTTTTGAAATTTACCAAACCCCAGGAAAAGCAACTAACAACTCCTAAAATCTGTATCTTAAGCAGAACATCTAATGTGCTTCATCTCCAGCCAGCTTATAGCTTTATTTGTCCTTTGCTTTCTGCTTTTCATTGTTCTGTGTTCTCCCCTCCCCCCAGTTATAGAAGTGCCCTTTTTATTTTATTTACAAAATTTGTATTCTGCTTCAAAGTCTAAGTGGCTTCCAATTAGTACTAGTAAAACAAACATAACAAAATAGTCAGTTGTTACCCAATCACTGTCCAAAACACAAAAACAGCACAAACCCACAAACATTCATTCCCCAAAGACTCTGAGAAAGAGTAGTGGTTTCACTGTCCCCCTGAATAGTAATAGGGGAGAGGGCACAGTTTTAACTTCAGGAGGTAGATTATTCAAACAGTGGTGGCCCTCACAGAGACTTGTGTCCCAGATCCCCACCCCTGTTTCCTGATGGGTGGAACTTGTAGCATGTCTTCTCTGACTGTATCAGATAGGTAGATTCTACATGGAATGGATTCTGTGTGGAGTGGATCTCAAAGATATCCATGTGCTTAGATGTAGCACTTTATAGGTAATAACCAGCACATTCAGTTGTATACAGAAACAAACTGGAGCCATTGCAACTCCAACCACAAAAGTATATCATGGCTATACCAGCTTTCACCCATTAACAAGTGGTCTAATATATTTTGCGCCAGCAATAGTTTCTGAGTGGTCTTCAAGGACAGCCTCATGTAGAACAAATTGCCACAGCCCATGCTTGAGGTAACAAGGGTGTTACTGTAATTACTATTGCTAGTACATCCAGTTTGAAAATGTCTGCAACTGACACACAACAGAGCAAAGGCTCTCCTTGCTATGGCCTCTACCTGCTGCTCTAGCAGGAGCTGTGACTCCTGGAGAACCCCTAGATTACAGACCAGCTTCTTCTATCCAAAAACCCTAGATTGCTGACCAGCTTCTTCTATCCAAAAATAAAGAAGCCATTGTTCTTGAATCAAAATGTTTCTGAGCCAATAGCCATTCCCTCTTGCTGGGGCTAAATCTTAGACTTTTTCTCCCTATACAGTTCCTCACAGCTTCCAGGCATTGGGTCAAGACTTCTACCACGTCTTCTGCTTGGCCCAGAGTAGATATATATAACTGGATATCATCATCAGTATGTTGATGCTATCTAGCCCCATCCTAATACTTGATTTCATCCAGAAGCTTCATGTATATGCTAAACAATATGGAAAAGAGAGTTGAACCCTGGGCATCCACATTGGAGTGTCCAAGTGTTTAATCTATTTCCTCCCACTGTCACTGATTGAAGAAGGGATGGAACCACTATAAAACAGTGCTTCTACTCTCTTATATCAGAAAACAGCTTAGACAGATACCATGGTTGATGGTATCAAAAGCTACTGAGAGATCCACCAAGTCCAAGAGGGCTGCACTCCTACTGTCTAGGTCCAACCATAGGCCATCCACAAGAGTAGCCAGTGTGGTTACAAACCCATATCCAGGCCTGAATCCTGACTGAGAATAAGCCAGATCATTCACTTCATTCTGGGCCCTCTGTAGTGGTCTCCAGCACCCTGTCCAACAATTTCCCAAGAAAAGTTTGGAGAGCAGTAGAGGTTATCCATGTTGATTGGATGGAGGGATGGTCTGCTGAGAGGGGACACACCACCATGTCTTTCAAGGCAAGCAGCACCACCCCCTCTTAAAAGAAATAAATCCTGGATGATATCACAAGACAATGTCCCTCAACTCCTCAGAAGCCAGCAACTCCAAGAAAATGTGAGTGGTTTTATCAATAAAATGCTTGGAAAAAGAGTCATAGTGGCCTGCTAGAAGTTCACCTGGTCCATAATTCCCCAAAAAGAGACTGGTTCACTTTAAAACTTGCTGCTGGACAACGTTCCCCAGATTCAACAATGGAGGAGAAATAATACTTCACTGTCCTTACCACAACAATGTAGGCTTCAACCTGGAATGATACATGTGTTAGATTATATTTTCTGCTTGTTCACCAGCATCACTCCAGGTTTCTGTTGCTACATCTCCTGGAGCTACTAAGTACATCAGGAAGATGCTTGGGAATCACCAAACAGGGAGATGCTGTATAAGGACAATCCTATCCAGTGCCTTCATTGCTTTTGTATTCCAGAAGTTGAGTAGTTACATGGATGAATTGCCTGCTAATCTAAGAGAAATTCCCCAAGTGCCCTCTGAAAAGCAGCCAAATCCAAAAGATGTCTATTTTTGGTCATCTTCATGGGAAATTTATCCTATGGAGAATGGATTCTTCCTCCCTGTGCCAAGAAGCCTAGTAGTCATGTGTCAGTGATGAAGAACTGCTAGTAATGTGCCCCACCACCTGCTAATGTCTCAACTACTGTAAAGTAGATGCCAGGTCCTAGGTGTTGCCCCCACACTTATGAGTAGGTGCCATCAGGGACTGCAATATAGTCATATTGTCATGGCAGCCATGAAATCCATGCCAGCTCCAACTCCACCATCCCAAGGAAGGGAGGCTGAAATTCCCCAATTCTAACAATTCCAGTTAGTATTGGGTGGGGAGAGATATCAAGCCTGAGCCCACTGTTGAGTGGAGTGCTGGGAGTTGATGTACTCCCCTCTGTTGGTTAACATCTACATGAGGCTGCTGGGTGATTATGCATTGGTTTGGGGTCATGTATCACCAGTATACAGATAATACTTGGTTGTATATCTCAACTCTAGACTTATCAAGTTAAGCTGTTGAGTCTTTTCCCAGTGTTTGAAGGCTGTAGGGATCTGGAGGAAGAGGAACAGACTCAGACTCAACCTTTCTTGCAAGACTTGAGTGGCTGTAAGTGTTTGGACCTGAAACTGGAAAGTTTCTATTTTTAGTCCTGAATGGGTTTGCACAGTTTGGGGTTTTTTCCTGGATTTATACCTCTTGTGCCTTCACACAGAGTCACCTTATGTGCCAGTTGCACCCATTTCTGGACCAAGATGCCCTTAATACAGTCACTCATGGTTTGGTCACCTTGTGTGTGGACAGTTGCAATGTGCTCTGCATGGTCTGCCCTGAAAACCCCAGCTCGGTCCAGAATGTAGTAGTCAAGGATATGCCATGGTTGCCCACATGACCCACTACCAGTAGGCTTCCAGGTGCAGTTAATGGTGCTAGTTATCATCTACAAAGCCCTTCATAGCATAGGCCCTGACTATCTGAGAGACCATCTCTCTCCTGTAGTGTTTACTGATCCTGCTTGATCTGACAAAGTTGGTATGCTTTGGGGCCCATTGATTAAACAGTGCAACCTGGTGGGACCCAGGAACCAGCGCCTGCTGCCTGGAGCAGCATCCCCCAGAGGTTCATATGGCCCCTATTCTGGCACCATTCAAAAAGCCCTTAAAACTTGGCTTTTCCCCCAGGCCTTGGGTTAGTTGCATGGTGGGTCTCTGGTGGGAATGTTGTATGTTGAAAGGGTGTCAGTTTTACTCTTCTGAGATTTTGATCTTTTTATTGTTGTTGTTAATTTTGTTTTTAACATATGTTGGCCAGAGTTGCTGTGGAATCAGGGGGCCTTATACATTTGATAAATAAGTAAACCTACTTCATGAAGTTGTTGTTAGGGGGAAAAACTGAGATGAAATATCTCCAGATGAGCTTCTGGAGGAAAGACG